GAGATGCCCTTGAGGATGGAAGCCAAGGACTAGAATAACAAAGCAGATAAAGAGAAGTTCCCTGGGTCTCTGATAACTATCAAGCCACCATACAAGTCCTAGTCAGCTTTTCTTCAAATTTCTCATATATTGAGGTAAAAAAAAACCTTTTATTTTATTTAAGCCACTATTATTTGGGGTTGTTCTGATACACTCAACCTAAACTAATCTTAGTGACTATAACTAGAGATGTAGATTTGAGAACCAATATCATATAGATGGTATTTAAAACAATGGGATCAGTGAGCTTACTAAGTAGAGATTGTAGAGAGGAGAAAGCCTGCGATTAAGCCCTGGAATCAACCAAGATTTAGAAGTCAGCCATAGAAGATGGGACCAGAAAAGAAGACTGAAAGGGAAGAGTAAAATAAATGGAAAATCAGGAGAATGTGACGCAAACAGAGGCCTAACGCAGAAATTATTTTTGGAAGGAAAGAGGAGTGAACTATATCAAATACTACTGGGAAGTGAAGATGAAGACAGAGAATTGACCATTAGATTTAACAAAATGAAAGTCATGAATGATCTAGGTAAGAGTCATTTCAGTAGAGTGATGAAGACAAGCCCTACTGGGTCAAATGGAAGAGAACTGGAGGTAAAAAAGGAGAAAGCAAATACAGATATCTGTTTTGAGATGCTTTACTATGAAGAGGAGCAGAGAGGAGGTAATGGGGTCAAAGGAGAGTTTAAGATGAGCAATACTAAGACAGGTTTGCAGACTGATGGGAGTGGTCCAATAACAGGGAGAAACTGATAACGCAGGAAAAGGTGAATAATTGCAGAAGTAAAATGCTTGAAAAGGAAGACTAGATAGAGACCAAAGTCCACCAGGAGGGTTGCCTCTGACAGACACCGACCTATGGGAGAGCAGTTCCCAGGAAAAATGATGGAGGCAAAATCCAATTATGTGAGGTTCAGGAGCAAATACAGGGTTAAAAATGACACAAGTAAAATGACATTAGTGGTTGCCTTTGGGTAATATAGGATTTGGGATTATTATTTTTCTGGTCTTCTTCATGCATTTCTGTGACTTGCAAATTTTCTAGAAGGAGTTCTTACTGCTATCATAATTAGAAAAAAACTTGAAAAAAGTGAAAGACAAGTGAAGTCAGCGACTGCATTCATTTTCATCTGTCTTGGAACTAGGCCCACCCTTCGGAATAGAGGAAATACAGCAAGAGCAGCTAGACGCAGATGTAACCCTGCAGGAAGGCCTCGTTCATGATGAAACCATTTCTTCTTTTTTAATCCCTAGTCCCCTCTTTATTGGGAGCTACCAACCCAATGGGTTCCAGATAAAGGAGGAAGTCTGGTCTAGCAGGCAGAACACAATGGCTACCGTCATTGTAGTGTTTCAGGATTGTGGCTGCCCCAGGCAGACTCCTGGTGCTCACTGGGGGGGCAGAGGCTAGGAATAGGACATCCCAAGCAGGTGAGGCTTGGAAGTCTAGGTAGATAGGCAGTGAGCACTAGAAATGTCTTCCTGCAGGCAGCCACCCAACTCAAGTTCAAGAGCAGAACTGGTGGAGCCGGAGGTGAGCTTGGAAGATCAAAGCTAAGCCCCAGTAGGGCCCATCATGGAACTACATTTAACAGAGGCCTGACATTCACGAAGGGGCTCTGAGCTGGTCATTGCCAAGTGAAGTTTCATACACATTACAGAGATGCACCAAGAGGATTGAAGGAAGACAGCTCTCATCATACAGCTTGAACATGCCTCCCATCACCACGCCATTCATCTGTCACGCACTATGAATTATGATATTTATAATCCCGCAATTACCTTATGAGCAGCACAATTACATTGCATTGGTTTTTTGTTTGTTTTAAAAGCACTGAGTTTTTCAATGGACATATTTAAAATACACTAAATTTAAAGCGAACCCTGTTTTAGTATTTCTTTATTTTTTTTTAATAGACTTTACTTTTTAGAACAGTTCTAGATTTACAGAAAAATTGAACGGATAGTCCAGTTCTTATATCCTCCCCTCCCCCACTCCTACACACAGTTTCTCTCATTATTAACACTTTGTGTTAGTGAGGTGTATTTGCACAATTTTGTTATAATTGATGAACCAGCACTGATACATGATTATTAACTGAAGTCCATAACTTACATTAAGATTCACTCTTTGTACATATCCTGGGTCTTGACAAATGCATAGGCCACACCTCCACAATTACAGTATCATACAGACTAGTTTTGTTGCTCTAAAACTCCCCTGTGTTTTACCTATTCAGCCCTCAACCCTCTCCCTGGACCCTTGGCAACCACTGATCTTTTTACTGTCTCCATAGTTTTGCCCTTCCCAGGACGTCATACAGTTGGAATCACACAGCGTGTAGCCCTTTCAGATTGGCTTCTTTCACTTAGCAATAGGCATTTAAGTTTCCTCCATGTCTTTCTGTGGCTTGATGGCTCCTTTCTTTTTACCACTGAGTAATATTCCCTTGTCTGGATGTACCACAGTTTATCTATCCATTCATCTAATGGAGGGTACCTTGGTTGCTTCCAAGTTTTGGCAATTAAAAATAAAACTGCTGCAAACATCCATGGGCAGGTTTTTGTGCGAACACAAGTTTTCAATTCATGTAGGTGAAATCAAGGAGTGCAAATGCTGGATCATATGGTAAGAGTATGATTAGTTTTGTAAGAAACCACCAAAGTGTCTTGCAAAGTGGCTGTACCAGCCTACATCCCCACCAGCAACGAATGGGAGCTTCTGTGGCTCCACATCCTCTCCAGCATTTGGTGTTGCCAGTGTTTTGGATCTTAGCTATTCTAATAGGTGCGTAGTGGTATATCTTGTTTCAATTTGGGATTTCCTAATGACATATGATGTTAAGCATCTTTTCATACGAGTGTCTGCCATGTATATCTTCTTTGATGAGGTGTCTGTTCAAATCTTTTGCCCGTTTTTTGAGTTGCTTGTTTTCTTATTTTGAGTTTTAAGAGTTTTTTGTATATTTTGGACACAAGTCCTCTATCACACATGTGTTTTGCAAATATTTTGTCTTGGTCTGTGTCTTGCTTTTTCATTCTTTTAGCATTTATTTAATATACTAAAAGCCTCAAAAATTGCAAGTGACTCAGGCCTTTCTTCTCTTCCGAGAAAGTAGAGATGAGGTTGGTTATCCAGATAAGAATTTCTGGACCTGTGTGGCCATGAGATGTGTGGGACTCTTAGCCTCTCAGACTAGCAGTCACTGGGGAGCAAGTTAAGAAAAAAGAGATAATAATATCATATGACAAACACTGGGCATTTTACATACGTTATTTCACAACTATCTTATGAAGTAGATCAGGTCATTTATATGGGAAGAAATCTATCGAGTCTACCAAGAATCAAGCAAGTTAAGCAAACCGTCCAGGGTCTCATGTCTATTACATGGTGGCTTTGGGACTCAAATAACCACATGACACCACAGGACCAGATGGAAGGCTAACCTATCTCAGGGTAGGTCTCACGCGGGACAGACCACAGAGTAAACCACTGCATCCAGAGGTGCTGAAGCTGAGGCTCACTCTGGGCCAGTGTTGAGATCTAAGGGGCTCCCATCTGAGGGGGAGAACTGCTCACATAAGATGGATCCAGAGGGTCTGTTTGGTTTGAAGCAGGATCTCAATGAGCAGCTGGGGATATAGGAAGCAGGGTCTGATCCTTGAGGGAGAAGAAATGCAGAAATGAATGGAGAATTAAGGCTCCAGACAAGTACGCTGGGGTCCAGTACAAGGCTGCAAACAGAGCTGGGAGACTGGAGCCAAAGGAAGACAGCCCAGGCACAAGCTATGCACGGCAATATCGTGGGCATTCTAGAGATCCTAGAGGGAAGGGGATGAGGGTTGTCGGGCCATCACAGGGTCATGGAACAAGGCCACTTTGTACCACTGGTTGATGAGTCTGAGCCTGTCTTATCAGGGACAAGCTCAGGGTCTGTATATGGCTAAGGTTTCAAGTTAAACATCCTCAGAGCCTACCTTTGAGGGAGCGTTAAGGAAACACCAAGGAAGGCAGAAACCCCAAGTGATGCTCAAGCTCTAGGCTAGCATTTGGGGAGGAAAGCTGAGAGCTCAGTTATCAGAAGAGAGGACCGCAGGCTGTCCGATGCCTGTTCTCAGTGCTGAGCCGATCCTGAAACTCCTGTGACCTCAGGACTCATCCCAGGGCTGAGCCTAAAGGCGGGGCCACGTGGGCCCCACTGCAGAAACAAGGGCGTGGCCAAGACAGCACACCTGTGCGAGGCTGGTGGCTGGGACACTGTGGGAAGAAGACTCGGGCAACAGACTCTACAGACCAATCAAATTCTACGAACCGAAAGCCCAGCTCCTTCAGGATTCGGGTCCTGAAAGCAACACATAAACCGAGGTTTTGTAAATTGATACTTAAAGGGACCTAAGGGGATTTTTTGTTTAAAAGGAATAATACGGTGAATTCTTTTTGTAATGTGAATTATGACCCCCTAATTGTTATTATTATTATTATTGAAAATCTGTGTATTGAAAATCCGGTTTCGATCCATTGGATTTTCTTAAATAGCGCATCCTTTTAATCTGATTTCTTTCTATTAGAGAGTAATATATGCATATACATAACTGATATTTCTGAAAAAGCAATAGATGTTACTAGTACTTCTTGATTCTAGCAAGGTTTAAATTTTAATCCCTACAATATATTCGTTAAACTAAAAACTATGGTCTAAACCAGTAGCTCCCAAACCTCACTGCACACAGAATTAAACTGGGAGTTTTAGAGAACACAGATTTCAGGCCCCGCCTCTTGAGCTTCCGATTCAATGGAAAACACAGGAAGGCACCAGGCACTCCCCAATGGGAGTTTATGGCTTAGAATCCTTTGTGCAGCCACAGAGATTGAGGGCAGATTAACCCATAGCTGATTTTATTGCTACTGTCCCAGGCTCTCCCTCCCCCAGTGCCAATGAGAAAGAGATTTCCAGCTTACATTAAACATAGTGATCCCACGATGTGGGGCTACTGGTCTAATGAGATGGTCTCCAGAGCCAAGGAGTGGGCAACTGCTCTGCAGCCGGATGTGCGGGCAGACCCTGGTCACAGCAGGTCCTTTGGCTCCCAGTGTAGACCTGTAGGTACAAGGCAGAGTGTGTCACTGTGCCCAAGGGGCTGTGAATTTTACCTGTAATTTTAGCAGGGGAGTTTGTATCCGCTCATTTCATACCTAAAAATGATTAGAAGAAAACGGAACACGCTCCTGTGGTTAGCAGAATAACGTTCCCCCACCCCTAATGATGTCCGTGTCCTGTTTCCCGAAACTGTGGATATGTTAGGTTGTGTGGCAAAAACAAGTGGTTGCTAATCAGCTGACTTGGAGATGGGGAGATTATCTGGATTATCTGGGTGGGTCCACTGTAATCACAAGGGCCCTTAAAAATAGAAAAGGGAGGGAGGAGAGAGAGCCTAAGAGATAACAGCTTGAGAAGGACTCCACATTGCTGAGAAATGAAGCCACAAGCCAATGAATGTGAGTGTCCTCTAGAAGCTGGAAAAAACAAGAAACTGAGATAGAAAGAGCACAGCTCTGCTGACACCTTGATTTTAGCTCAGTGAGACCCGAGTCAGACCTCTAACCTCTAGAACTGGACAATAATAAATGTGTGTTGTTTTAAGCCACTAAATTTGTGGTAATTTTTTTACAGCAGGAATAGGAAACTAATATAACACCCATGACCAAGTTCTCAAAATTTTTTTTCCTTTAAAATGCAAGAAAAAAAAACTAGAACTTAAAATCTGACAGCCTGTCACTTCTCCTTTTTATTATTGCAAGGCCCTGCAAGCCATCTCTAATATTTTACTGTTTTTCTCTTGGAAGATTCTGTATCTAAGATAACCAGGCTTATTTATTGGGCCAAGTTTTGAACATAGTATGATGAGATTGTTGTAAGATCCAGGATCCATATTTTTAAAACCTCCCTTGGTGTCTCCAGGTTTGCAAATCACTGGTCTAAAATTTAAATTCTAGACCACATAATTATGAGTGGCTGCATGCCTGGAGAATGAGCACAGTGGATTATTATTAACCTAGGAGGACATAACAAATGTGGGGTCCACAGAGACTGGGCCTGGTGATGTAACATTTCATCAGCGACCTGAATAATGGAATGGTGAGCATGCTCATTAGCTACGAATGTGGTACCAAAATGGAAAACAGGCGGAGGAGGGCATTTTAATTAACTAATGAGGGTTGTTAGGGTGGGGAGAATATTGATTCAAAGGACAGGTGACAGCAGGGTGAGGAAGTGCCGGAGGAGTTGCTGGGAACTGAATGAAGTTCAGTGGCAGTGAGGGCAAACGCAGAATAACGCATGTTCTGTAGAAGGGAAGGAAACAGCACAATAACAGGCGGGGCGGGGGAAGACTGCAAAATCAGAGAAAGATCCTGAGGTAAGTCTGATCACGGAGTTGGGCGGGCGCTGGGGGGTGGTGCAGGAAGGCCACTTGGCCTGGGCCTCACATTCACATGGGCCCTGAAATTTAGAATTCTGGCATCATTTTGGCATCTGATAAAGGTGTTCATTTGCTCGTGTAAACCTGTAAAGCTCACCACGGTTTTGTAATCCCATTTTTGCAACTTTTCCTTTTTTAATGCACTGGGAGCCTCAAAAACGGAACGTGGCCTGGATGTCTCAGTTCGAGAGTCCTGACTGGAGATCACGGTGGAACACAAGATTTAATGGGTACTGCAGTTGGTGAAGCAAGCATCACTGTGCAGCCACAGGGTATTTGTGGGAGGATTCACAACGAGCAGCGAGGGCCTCTAGCAAGCAAGGCTGGGAGAATTCGAATCCAGGGAGGAAAGGAGATTTACTTTGTTCCTGAAGAAACTATTAATAGGTACTTTGTTGTTTTCTGCCCCCCCGCCCCCGAGTTACGCAAGCACAGAATCCAAGATGTCGGGTAGTCCTATGCGGCTTGCCACGAAAAACAGCAGCCCCCAGCCCCTCCTCGCCGTTTTCCACGCTCTTACCTCTTTCAGATGATTCTTTTGGTATTTACCTCCAGGTCTCTAAATTAAGGCGCTTCTAATACTAGTCCTTGTTTTTCAGAGTTAACCGTTATCTGGTTTGTCCCCACAATAGAAGGCAGTGATTTGGTGTCCTTCCGCCGGGTGCACCCACCAGACCTCATTCTTCTGCATCCCCTTTTCTTCCAGGCCAGTTGTGTTGTAATCTTGGTCAGGTGAATATTCATTGTTTGCGTTGTTGAGACTGTAAAACACCCTTCACAGCTAGACTAGAGTAAATTATGATAACTCCTCCTTTCCTGCACACCTCTTTGTTGTCCTTGGAGCTAATAACTGTCTTGGTTTTCATTTGCTCCATTTTCTGTGTATTTGTATCTGCCATTTGTCTACATCTGCTCTTGAGACATTCAGAATCTTTGGATGTTCTAATCATCTCCCAATCTCTCCCAAAGCCTTCCAACGTGCTGCGACCTGGACCTGAGGCACAGCTCTCGTCTTGGGACCTCCCTTCACTGTCATCCCAGCGATTCTCTTGCCTCCCTCCTGGGTGAACTCTGGTCCCCTTTTTCTTGATTTGCTCCATGTTTTGACACATGTTCCGGAGACTTCCTGAGGCAGGGGAATGAAATGTAAAGTTTTGAGATCTTGCATTTGTGAAAATGTTCTTAATCTACCCTGCCACTTGAAATAACAGCAATCGTTTGGGCAGGGTATAGAATTCTAAATTAGAAATAATTTTCCTTGAGAAATTTGAAGGCCGTCACCATCTGGCCTCCAGGGTTGCTGTGGAGAAGTCTGAAACCATTCGGACTCATCATCCTTCATATAAGACCTCCTTTCCCAGCCTCTTTGTAAGCTTGCAGTATCTTCTCTTTGTCCTCTTTGTTCTGAGATTTCATGCTGGCCTGCCTTGGGGTGGGTGTATTTTCAATCCTTGTGCCTGCATTTGGTGGTCCTTTTATTCCAGAAACACATGCTCCTCTGTTGTGGGAAATATTTTGGAATTATGTCTTTAATGACTTCCTGTCCTCTGGTTTCTCTGTTTTTCCTCTTTGAAAATCCTATTTTCATATATTAGATCTCCTGTTCTGGGCTCCTCATCTTTCTTATCTTTCCTTTCGTTTGTCCATTTTGCTCTAATTTCAGGGAGATTTGCTCTTCTTTATTCTCTAACCCTTTTATTGAATTTTCACTTTTATTGTCATATTTCTAATTTCCAAGAGGTCTGATTTGTCCCCTGAATGCTTCTTTTTCTAGTTTGATGGTTATGTATCTCAGCCCCGAGAATACTAATCAGAGGGTTTTGGACATTTTCTTGAACGTGCATGGTCTCTCTTTCCTCCACTTCCTTTTTTCTGTTCATTTTGTTCTCTGTACTTCATGTGAGAGGTTTCCCTCAATGGCTAGTACTCCTTGATCGTCTGCTCCTGTTTGAGAATGGGGGTTGAGAAGCTGAGCGGAAGGTCTTCATCCGTAGGGGCTTGTTGACCAGAGACTGCACTAGGTATTCTGGCTGGGCTGTGTGGTTGGAGGGCCCCCACATTAGTACCTTTAAGTTTGTCCTCTTTGGGAGACCAAATTCTCCAGAGAGGACTCTTTCAGGTTCATGCCTGGAGGATAGAATTCTGGCTACAGGCATCGTGGGAGCCCAGTGGGGAAAGAGCTGTGGTCTCCATTTATTCGCTTAACCCCTCTGTTTTCGGTACGTCACCCACTTCTCAACTCTGCACCATGTCCTCCAGTCTAGACACCTTCTGTTCTAGTCGCTCTGCAGTCGGGGGGAGGGGGGGGCGGGGGGGGCGGTGCACAGGCCGGTCTGTGCGGAGCGCGGAGTAGGTCTGGGAGTCTAACCGATTCCTAAATAGGCTTTGAACCGCTCCTTCTGGTTTTAGCGTGTCCACCTCTTTGCCACAGGTATCTGGTGCTGCCAATTCCAGAGCCTTTAGGGATTCTGCTCAATTTCTCAAATTTCCCCAGTGCTGGCTTAGGATTCAATGTTCCCATGTCTGCTGCATCATTGGTCACATTTCTTATTTTCCAGCTGTTAAAATTTTGTTGCTATGGGGAGTTAAAAAAAAAACTTTTTGTTGCTATTTTTCCTTCCCTTTAAAAAAATTCACTTACAGGGCCAGCCCCGTGGCTAAGTTCACACGCTCCGCTTTGGAAGCCCAGGGTTTTGCCAGTTCAGATCCTGGGTGGAGACCTAGCACCACTCATCAGGCCATGCTGAGGCGGCGTCCCACACAGCACGAGCAGAGGCACTCACAACTGCAATATACACCTATTTACTGGGGGGCTTTGGGAAAAAGAAGGAAAAATTTTAAAAAAATAATAATGATTTTAAAAGTTAACTTCCTTGTTAAAAAAATTCATTTACCATCATTTTAGTGAGATTTCAGGAAAAGAGAAAAGAAGAGATGTGTGCATGCTGAATCCTCTCTGTTTACCTGGAAGATTTACTTCTCACATTTACCTTTTTCTATTATTTCATTTTTTTAATCCATGTTTGCTCACTAGTTATTATTCATTGTTTTCCTTTCCAAGTTACGACAATTTAGTTGCTTTTTTCAAAGCAGCTATAAGAGGATAGCGCATAGGAACAATGAAATAATCATCAGCCTTTTTAAGGCTTTGCGAGCTTCCAGTGCTGATCTGTGTAGTAGGGGCATGTACATGCATGTGTATTTGCCAAGAGACAGCCGCAGCCTACCTGGGGGAGATCATATACCCACAAATGATGACACAAGACCAGGAGATAGCAATACCCCTCCAAGAAGGAGATAAAGTTGGTCAAAATGAGTCATGGTCAGGAGTGTGAAATTTCCCCAGCCGTTACTTCTGCCTGGAGAAGAATTTCCAATTTGCTTAAACACTTGTCTATCCCGCTCATGGAGAATTCTCTGAAGGAGCCGTCTCCAAATTGTTTGATTGACATTCTTATAAGAAAAGCATTTTTAACACACTCTCAAATAGGCAAATTTATTTACTTGCAAATTATACATGTCTTACTCTATCAATATTATCCATGGTATTAATACACATACAAGTAGAGATTTTTAAAGGATGCAATAGAAAATAAATAGAATTAGAAGTTCTAATATTTTCCTTCAGCACCCCAGCAAATCACCTTGCACATCACAGAATTCTCAAGCAGGCTGAGCATCAGAGCACCTGCGAAGGTTTTTCAAAGTCCTGCCCCGGGCCTACCTGGCATATGAATCAGAACTTCTGAGGGTGGGACCCTGGCAAGGGCGTTTTGAAAAAGTTTCCCCACTGAGTCCCATGTGCACCTCTGGTTAAGAAATACAACTCCAAAGATTTCAAAATTAGAGCCCTTGAAAAAGTATAAATAGTAGTCAAATGGCTACCCAAGTGCAAAAAGCAGGCTAATGATACTGGGAGATTCTGAGCTTGATTAAATATCTGGAATGTCACATACCTCAAAAAATTCTGTCTCCTTCCCACAACTCCATATTTTTCTTCCTCTATATCTGTCCTTTCTCTTTACTTCTTAGGATAAATTTAACTTTTCTGTTATAACAAATAGGTATTCAATGTAGAAAATATAGATAAGCAAAAAGAAGAAAATAAAAGCTCATCTATAATTCTACCATTCCAAGAAAACACTTAAAGTTTTTATTTATAGCCTTCCAGATATTTATGGCAACACATGCTTAAAATGGGATCATAGGGGCCAGCCCGGTGGCGCAGGGGTTAAGTGCACACATTCCGCTTCAGCGGCCGAGGGTTGGCTAGTTCGGATCCCGCGTGCGGACAAGGCACCACTTGGCAAGCCATGCTGTGGCAGGCATCCCACATAGAAAGTAGAGGAAGATAGGCACGGATGTGAGCTCAGGGCCAGTCTTCCTCAGCAAAAAGAGGAGGATTGGCAGCAGATGTTAGCTCAGGACTAATCTTCCTCAAAAAGTAAGGGGGGGAGGATCATACTGTACATGCTCTTTTAAACATTTTCACTCGGTAATTATTTTTTTTCCAGGACAACAAGAATGAAAGCTCCAATAGAGCAGTGGACAGTGGTGGGACAGCTGATCCGCGTGCACAGAGCAGGTAGTCAGAAGCCCCCTGAGTGCAGCTGAACAGCTGGGTCCTCCAACTAATATTCTCTCCCTTCCCCTTCTGATCCTTCCTTATTTTGCGTCTCTTGTTCTGATTGCTTTCTACATGCCCTTTCTCTTTTCTTTTACTTTCTCCCCTCATCTCTCTTCACTAAAGCAACCGAGCAAGGCTTTCAGGACAAGGGTTAATATTTGACAGAATGAAACTTCCCGATAATTTGACAAGGGATGCCTAACCAGGAAGCTGAAGAGACAGCTGCACCCTTCTCTGCAAAGAGGATCTTCTGAGCAAGCCCAGGCAAGAGCCCTCTGTTCTTGATGACTATCTGTTATTTCCACTTGGGAGCCCAAATTAAAGTTGCTTATTTGCCTTAGAAGCAAAGTTCGGCCAGAGGCAGCCTGGGGTGCCCAGGTTGTCCGAGAAGAGCCATTTGAGGGAAATTGCATTTCTGGAATTGAAACCAAGGGAGGTGGAACTGCAGTCGACACAAGGCAAGGACTGAGAAGGAGGCCGGGATGACAATCCAGAACAAACCAGCCACAGCACTCCCACTTGGAGAATAATCAGTTTCCCCAGTGGTGTTATAAAACCGGTTGCAAAAAACCAGTTCCTCTTGCTTTAGGTGGCAAGGATCTTCCGAGTGCTGGTTACCCTCTCACAGCTTTTCAACCTGCTGCCAAAGAAATTTCCATCTGTAGTTATTAATCCACTGGTATTGAGGAAAGTTCCTGAACTTTGAAAGCTTGTTTGGGCTGGTATGAAAGAAAATAAGCACTTTCCACCACAGCAGAGCCAAACTGTGCTTTCTAGAGGCTGTGGAAAATTGTTTTCATTAAACGCAAATCATTGCCCCCCAAACCAATGTTCTTGGGGATGAAATTGTCTTTGGCTCCATTAACTCTGAGAGGCTACATTAGCCAGTTCTCTAACGGCACTCTGCTATGGAAGGTTCTAGAAAATGAATAGAAAGTGAATCACTTTCCACTCGCACCCCCAGTACCAACCCCTCACCCCAGCAGCAGCTTACCCCTTATCAGTTGGAAAGGGGGTGGGGTGGGGGATGTAGCATGACTGTGCTTATACTATGAAGATGCTGGGGTGGGGTTGGGGGGACAGCAATTAAATGCTGCAACTGGGGTGTTAGTCACAGTGGGTGGGACTCTCCCTGTCATCCTGCAGAAGCAGAGCCAGAGAAGCTGATGATAGCTGAAGAGAGGGAGGGCCCCCCGCGCAACCTCTCTCTTTTCCCAGCAACAGCTGCTTCATAAGCAGCACTTAGCATATGTACAAGGTCGTAAAAGAGGTGAGAAACAGGGAAACAGTATTTTGACACAAACTTGTCCAGAGAGGATCTCTTATAGGAAGAACATCTCTGGCCTATAGCAGAATTGAAACTAAATTAAAAAAATTTTTTTTTTTCTTCTTTGAGAAAGACTGGAAAATTCTTTGCTTCCTCCAGGGAAACAAATCTTTACTTGAGGTGGCACCTGAAATTTCACCATTAATGATATAGTCCTTTGTGTATTGCAGGCAACCTGGCATCTAAGAGACCTATATAAAAATGCAGATACGTCATATAAGGCCAGCCAGCGATTCTCACTGGAATCAGAATCCTTCAGAAGACCTTTACATGCAGACTGCTGGCATACACACACATACTCCATCCCCTGAGCCCTACTACAACCGCGACCTTTAGTCACTAGGTGGGTCTCCAGTTCTCTGATGTGTTAGTCATCACAGGCTGATATAGCAAAATACCATGGACTGGGTGACTTAAACAACAAACATTTAATTCTATAGTTCTGAAGGGTGGAAGTCCAAGATCCAGGTGCCAGGAGCTTCGGCTTCTGGTGAGAGCCCTTTCTGGCTTTCAAATGACCACCTTCTTGCTGTATCCTCATACAACCTTTCCTTGGTGCATGCACGGGAAGAGAGCAGCATCTCTCAGCCTTCCTCCTCCTGTAAAGACACTTTTCCCATCAAGAAGGTCCCATCCTCACGACCTCATCTACACCTAATTACATCCCAAAGGCCCCATGTCCAAATACCATCACACTGGGGTTAGGGCTGCAACATACGAATTTGAGGAGGGGACACAAACCTTCAGACCATAACATCTGGCTTCTGACAGGACCTTGGCGTAGTTAACTTTAGATCTTACTTTCGCAGGTTAGAAATTGATTTCCACTGTGGATGATGATTTGATTGCCTCAATCAGAACTGACCCTCTATAGTTAAGGAAGAAATCAATGGAAAATTGGAAATAGTTTTTTTTTTTTTAATTTTGACACTTCAAAGGGGACTATATAGAAGAGTCAACACTGTCACTTTCCTCCCCTGAATCCACGGCCCCCTCCAGTATCCTATCTCTTTCTTTTCTCCCTACGTTCTCTATTGGTACATTCCCTTTCTTCTCCTCCTCTTTAAGAAGGAAACATATTAGGAATGTGGGTTGTGTTTGTGTTACCCTTGCTTAATCATTTCGTACTTTCTTTACATAACATGGGCTTAATATTTTACTTCGGGATGTGGTTATTTCAGTGTGTTGACCTTCTTTACTTGATGCATCAGTGGCTGTGATGGGAAAAAAGGTCCTTACACCTGTCTCATGACCTTAAGAGTGGAGGAATCATTCATCAGGTGCTGAGGCCACAGGACCACTTAGAAAGTGTGAGAGGGGAGTAGGGGGTGAGCTGGGAGTTTGAAAAAACAAGACCAAGGACAAGATTTCCCTACCTCCCAGATTTGCAAAGAACAAGCTTCTGTTATGCTAAAGTCAGTCCTAGTCAATAATCTACTGTGGGGAAGCAGCAACCAAAGATCCCACGGGTTGCTCTGACTTGTACCTTACCTAAGATTTCTCTTGAGTGGGTATGTACATGGAGCCCAGAGACACTCCATAGGGTTGGGACAACACAACGTGCCTCTCCTACCTGTTGGCCTCCTTTTCCCCATCTCATTACATATAGGGGAAATCAGATTGAAATTAACACCGAGGACCCCACAAAAGTTAAAGCAGAAACTATAGGGTCGTGTAGGCAGAGTATGTGGACAGAAGAAGGCGGAAAGCCATTCCAGTTTCTCCTGGTGTTTAGGAGTACCTTGGATGATTAAGTTACTTTATTTTCAAGGCTTCACTGGCCAAGCCCTCTTCTCCTCTATGTGGGGGTGCTGCCATGAACTATCCAACATGCTGCCTGTCGCACCCCTCCCAGCTCCACTCAGCAGCTCAGCCCCCTATTCTGTGGAGAAGGTGCAGTGCAGAATGAGAGAACTGCCTGGCCACTCAGCTGCCTAGACCAACAAGGCTCTTGTGTGCTGGTCCCAGACCATTTCCGGAGACCAACATATGACAGAGCCACAACCTCCGGCCCCTCTGTCAGCTATCTGCAGTTCCTCCTTTTTCTTTTCTTCTCCTAACCTCATAAACAACGATCGTTGAAGGTCCCACTATCTACAGATTCTGAGCCAAGATTGGCTTTGGTTAAGAGGAAATTCTCCGTTTTCTACAACAGTGGACAAAGGGTTTTATTTTATGAGTAGGAACTTTGCTTTCTCTAATATGGATTATTTAATGTATTTTTACTGTTCCTGCTTTTGTTCTCTATAATTATAGTTCATAGCAAAATTGATGTTACCCAAGAAATAGACAAGGAACTTCTTGGTAAAGGAAGTAACCGAGGAGTTGAAAGCAGAGGCCCAAAAAGTAGTTCAGTTCTGCATTCGATTCCTTCCCTCATTTGTATGACCTCCCCGTCTAGAAAAAAAGAACAATAGGAACAACAAAATCAACAAATTGTGTAACTCTGTTTCCCAACTTTCCTAAGAACATTCATGTTCCCTGTGCCACCCTTATGACACACACAATTCTTCACGGGAAACGTAAGCAAACATAGAAATCTGTTGTTACAAGCAGGTAGCTGTAGGCATCTGCTGTCACCTCCCAAAGACAGGAAGAGCCCTCCTTTTTTTTGTTTTTTGTTTTTTTTGCTCAGGAAGATTCACCCTGAGCTAACACGCATTATCAATCTTCCTCTTTTTTTTGCTTGAGGAAGATTAGCCCTGAGCTCACATCTGTGCCAATCCTCCTCTACTGTTTTATATGTGTGACACCTACACAGCATCGTTGGTAACTGGAGTAGGTCTGTGCCCAGGATCTGAACCCATGAACCCAGGCTGCTGAAGCAGAGCATGTGGAACTTTAACCATCTGTCCACGGGGCCAGGCCCAGGAAGAGCTCTCTTTTGTCTAAATGGCAGGTCCTAACCCTTCCCACTTTCTCCTCAGTAAGTTAATGTCTAAAGGTGGTATTTGGAAACAGTGGAGGAAAAGATGGATGATCCAATACATGATATTGAGGCACCCATATAACCATGTGGAAAAAAATGCATATGAAGCAAAGATTTAAACGTAAAAATGAAAACATAAAAGTACTAGGGGAGGGCTGGCCCAATGGCGAAGCAGCTATGTTCGCACGTTCCGCTTTGGCGGCCCGGGCTTCACTGGTTTGGATCCTGGTTGCGGACATGGCACCACTTGGCAAGCCATGCTGTGGTAGGCATCCCACATATAAAGCAGAGGAAGATGGGCACAGATGTTAGCTCAGGGCCAGCCTTCCTCAGCAAAAAGAGGAGGATTGACAGCAGATGTTAGCTCAGGGCTAATCTTCCTTGAAAAAAAAAAGGTTTTTAAACGTGCTAGGGGAAAAGAATAGGTTAAAATTTTTAATAGATTTTTTAAGTAGTTTTTGGAGTGAGGAAGTACTACGTAAAACCAAGAAGTCATAAAAGATACAACTGTGTAAAACTGGCAGATTCATCTATACAAAAAATTCTCATAAATGCATGGGAAAAAACACCAAAAACAAAGCCAAAAGACAAATGACAAATGGGAGAAAGTGTTTGCACACTTACCACAAAAGAATCATTTCCTTCAGACAAAAAGATCTCATAAAATTTAATAAGAAAAATACCAAAAACCCAATAGAAGAAATAGAAACAGATTACAAGCAGACAGTTTACAAAAAAAGATATGGAAATGGCTCGAAGTCATATAAAAAGATGTTCAGCCTCTCTCAAAATAAAAGGAAAGGAAATTGAAATTACACTGACATATCGTTTTTTTCCTATCAGACAAAGAGCAAAAAGTTTGATAACATACTTTCTGGGCAGGGCTATGAGGAAACAAGCTTGCTACCCATTGCTAATGAGAGTATAAATTGGTACAATCTCAACAGAAGAGAATCTAACATCATTCAACACCATTCGACCTTTGACTAGCAATTCTACTTGTAGGAATTGATCCTACAGATATATCCACACATATGCAAAACGAAGTATGTTCAAGGTCATTCACAACAGCTGTCTACGTGTAAATGGATTACCAAGCAGCGGTAAAAGGTAATAAGGAAGTTCTGTATGTACTGGTATGGAACCAACTCTAAGACGTTTTATTGAATGAAGAAAAGCAATTTCAGAGTGGTGTGTGTATGTGCGCACGTTTAAAAATATTCTAAGAATTTATTTAAGAATTTCCAGAAAGTACACCAAAAACTCCATTAATATTGGTTTTGGAAGGCAATTAGACAGCTGGGGGACAGAAGTGGGAGGGAGACTTTTTTTTTTTTTTTTTTAAAGATTGGCATCTGGGCTAACAACTGTTGCCACTTTTTTTTTCCTGCTTTATCTCCCCAAATCCCCGCTGTACATAGTTGTATATCTTAGTTGCAAGTCCCTCTAGTTGTGGGATGTGGAACACCACCTCAACGTGGCCTGACAAGAGGTGCTATGTCCGTGCCCAGGATCCAAACCCTGGGCCGCCAAAGAGGAGCAAGCGAACTTACCCACTCGGCCATGGAGCCGGCCCCGACTTTTTACTAGATATTCTTTTGTCCCTTCTGAATTTTGAACCAGGTAAATTTGTTACCTTCTCAAAAATAAAATAAAATATTATAATGAAAATAAATAAAGAAGAGATAATCCATGAGCTTGAATGAACTTCAACAAAGGTGAATAGGATAGTGAATTTTGTG